ATTCAATTCTTTAGACCGACTGTTCATATCGATTTGTAGAAAGAAACCTTTCTTCCTACATGAATTAATTACACATCGCTAATTGCTCTGAACACAATGCGATTTAATGGACAGATTTGCGAGGATGGTTTAACGGTCGAATGGCAGGGAGGCAATATTGATCCCTTGTACCGAACGAATTTTCTCCTCTCCTCTCGTGGAATGCAACATTTCTCGCGCAGCGCCGTTCGGAACACTCGCAAACGGCGCTAAACGGCGCAACCTGAAAATCTCGCATAAGCGAAAGTAGAGAAAGCTGCTTGTCTCGCGGAGCCACGGCAAGGCCGTTGCTGTTTAAAGACGAAACACGCCTAACAGCGTCGTCCAGATGCCATACTCACGTGCGCGACTTCCAGATGTGCCACTGGGTATTAATCGTTCATCCGCACCAAAATCGATTATCTTTGGCGAACATGATAAAACTTTTATGGTATCGAGAGAGGATTGTTATCAAGCCTCAAGTTTATCGCGGCGATATTAGTTTTGTAGCAATCATTTAACTCGACGTGTCTGCGCGTCGCTCAAACACGCTTAATTATTTCGAAATGTCAAACGTCTTTCATGCAAAATTAAATGACTCAATTTGAATGAATTCTAGTTTTAGTACATGTAAATTTTATAATATGATAATTTTATTTATCACGTGTTCCAATCCAAGTCGGAATTTTTCATGAAGACTTTTACGGCTTGATTAAATTCTAAATTAGAGATACACTACAAGGAATTTGAGCAACTTGAAACAGTCTATATGTCGTAAGCGTATCCGTGCAATTGCGAAGTTCCGTCTATGTAAAGTCGCGTACACGTGCATTATTAATAATAATCCGCCTCGGCGAAGAGAACAAAGATAGGGGGGGGATGCAATTTCGGAAGCTGGAGGTAGCGTACGTTATCTGGCGCGCTTCCGGTGTGCCAAGGTATATAACTGGGATCCGAGCTAAAACAAAGCACGCCGGGCCATTAAGCCGCTTGCAAGTGCAAGAATCCCGATAATGGAATATTTAATAACTTCTGCTCTCCGGTCGCACGTCGGACCGGCGTGGCGGCTGGCGCGCCTCGATACCAAGCCGAACGAAGAAACGGTGTGGATCGGTGAAATTGACTCCTACTAGGTCGGTGGGTGACGGAAGGCGAGTGACGCGGCCGATATTCGTCTATCTGTTTGCCATGGTTTGTTTTCAGTTAGGCGCAGATAAATATCGTGCCGCCTATCTCCGCGCCGTTAATTGAAATTCTCCTTGCTCAATGAGATCAGGGGGGCGGGTCCGGAGATTTTCTTGCATTACATATATATTTTATC